TGCTTGTTACTGATTTTCGTTTGAATGTGTTGTTTCTTCCCCCCATTTGCTCTTGACTTAAACGGTTGCAAGCAGCTTCTTTTTGCACTTTTCAATCTAAATCATCGTCTGGGGTTGTCGTCAGAAACCTGAATCTGTAATAGGTTATTTGGCTTTATTGATAAAATCTATGTGAATTAGCAGACTGGGTTTTGATTTGATTCGATATCCTTGTTTGTCATTGTGAACGGTTGCTGGGTTCTATGTAATACAATCAAGTGTCACCTTTTTGCCATTGTTTAAAAATCATTGCCCTTTCATTATGTTTTAAGCTTAGTGACATATGTATGTGAATATAGTTAGTTAGTACGTTTAGATTGTCCTTCATACTTGTTTGATTATCTTAGTTATTATGCTGTTGGTATTTTTTTTTTCTGTATTAGGGAATTCACGGTGTTTGTGGTTATTTTGAATTTGTCTTAGGAAATAATGGGGAAAAAAGTTAAGAAGAGGACTCGAGCACCTCCTAAGGAGAAGAGGGTTGTTGTTCATTCTCCCAAAAATTCTAGACAACAACCTAGTGTAAGTGATGGGACTGTTCAGGATGTAGTTGAAGTAGTCAACGAGAGAAAACCATGTGTCCATCTCCAAAAAGAAGTTGATTTGGAAAAGTTGTCAGTTAAAATTGGGTCTTCAGAGCTATTAGGTGTGAAGATTGTAGAGAAGGCGCCAACGAAAGGAGAGGGAGTAAAGGAAAGAGTAAACAAGGTAAGAGAAAGGAAGTGCTTCACTGGATTCGAAGTCTGAGTCAAAAGCTATCTGGGTTTGTTTACAATGTGGGCATTATGCTTGTGGAGGGGTTGGATTGCCAACAGGGGCTCAAAGCCATGTGGTTCGGCATGTTAGATCAACTAGGCATCATTTTAGTGATTCAGTGGGAAAATCCTCAATTATGTTGGTGCTTCCCATGCAATTTACTCCTTCCAGTTGAGAAAACAGAGGAAAACAGTGAAAAGGAAGACACGTTAGCAGGTGTTGCAAAATTAATCAAGGCACGATCAATAGAAAGGTCGTCAGTTGATGTTGAGGAAGTTTGGTTCGGTGGTGGTAGTGTTACAAGTGAGGTCAAATTAGAAGGCACTGTGTCAGGCAGTGTTACTGGAGGAGGTGGTTATGTGGCAAGAGGCCTAGTTAATCTTGGGAACACGTGCTTTTTTAATTCAGTCATGCAAAATCTTTTCGCTTTGGATCGATTAAGGAAATTCTTCTTGAATGAGGACATGTCTGCTGGACCTCTTAGTATTTCATTGAAGAAGCTCTTTTCTGAAACAAAACCAGAGGCAGGTTTGAAGAATGTGATAAATCCAAGATCCTTTTTCGGGTCCATCTGTTCTAAGGCTCCTCAGTTCAGGGGATATCAGCAACATGACAGTCATGAATTGCTTCGCTGCTTGCTTGATGGCTTGAGTGCTGAGGAGTTGGGCTTGAGGAAAAAATCTGGTGCTTCTGACACAAATTTGAATTCCTCCAATGGAGATTCCACTTTTGTGGATGCTGTATTTGGCGGTCAGATTTCCAGTACTGTTTGTTGTGTTGAATGTGGCCACTCCTCAACAGTGTATGAGCCGTTTTTGGATCTCTCACTGTCTGTTCCAACAAAGAAACCGCTGACTAAAAAGGCTCAAACTGTTGCCCGAGCAAAGAAAACAAAGTTGCCGCCTAAAAGTAGTGGAAAGATTCAGTCAAAGCATAAAAAAGATGCACCAGGCAAAACTATTTCAAACCCCTCAGCCAGCAGTGGATCTCCAGATCAAGGACATTCAACTGAACCTCTTACTGCAAAGGTTTCTTCTGCAGATGATTCTGCTGAATCAGGTTCTATAGGCTCAATTATTGAACCTAATGTAAGTGATCCAGTTTCACAGAATTCCTCTGTTGTCCCAGTTTCAAACAATGATCAAGCACTCCGTGATACAACACAGCAAAAGGCTGCTCCAATTGATGACTTTACATGGTTGGATTACCTTGAACCAGGAACTATGTCAGATGAGAATGACTCGACTTCAATGAATAATGACATTTATGTTTTGCACGATTCTAGCAGCAAAGATATGGCTGTGAATGATGTCTTAACGGAGAGCAGCGAGGTTTCTTTGGTTGGTGGAGAGCCACATTTGAAAAGTAGTTCTTCTTCTGGTAATCTCAGGAAAGAGGATCTCCCTTTACAGGTTCAAGATTCTGAAGTTTTGTTGCTTCCATACAAAGAAGAAAGTTCTGCTATCATACAGGTGATGGCAGGAGACGACGAGGCCTCCTCATCAGCTGTGGGCTGTGGACAAGATGCATCGGATTTTGATGGCTTTGGGGACTTGTTTAATGAGCCAGAGATTGCTGAAGGGCCCATAACTGGGCCATCTTTAGGACCTGAAGTTGCAGGAACTGGTTTTACTGCAAGTAACAGCAGTGAATCTGATCCAGAGGAAGTTGATAACTCAGATTCGCCAGTATCTGTAGATAGTTGCTTGGGTCATTTCATAAAGCCAGAACTTCTCACTAATGATAATGCTTGGATTTGCGAGAACTGTTCAAAGAGCCTTCAACATCAAAGGTTAGAAGAAAAGAAAGTTAAAAGGGCATTGAAAAATTTAACCAGTGGAGGTGAGACTCGGAGCAAAATTGATCCCGGGCAATTA